CTAACAGAGGCAAGAATATACAGAATAGATTGTACAAAATGCCTTATAATGTACATTGGTGAAACATCAAAAAAAATAAAAAAAGAATACAGCAATCTTCGTGCTCACAAAAATGGAGTTTTAAAAGGACAGTTTTTCCCTTGACACCACTATTATTTTAACTACCTTCACTCCTCAGCAGTGTTTATTCTTTTAAAAAGACTATATGAGCATTATGGAAATATATGGTATAACAGCACTTTAAATGTAGTTCACCATAATACATCTGATGACAATTTTGACTGAATAAATGTAAGTGTGATCAGGAGAGAAAAGGATTCACTAATGCATTGAAAGTGCACTAATCTCACAATTTTTGGCAATAAATGTAAGACCATCCTGGACTATACTTGACAATGGATGAGATGTAATTATTCAAAGTCAAATGGAAACTGTAAGAACACACAGAACAACACCTTGTCTCCTAAAATATGTGCAACTGAACCCGCTATGATGAGCCTCTACCCTTAAAAACATCAGGAAGCATGTCGATGCTATGGGATGTCTAAAACATTTATACACTTAGCTTTAAAGTAAATACAGTGCCACATAAAAGTTTACAACACATTACAAGAAATGTTTCTTTAGGTATTTCTAACACAGATTAATGAAACTTTTACTGCTAATAATACATATGTTTAAGCCTTTAGTCAAACAATCAGATTGAAAAAAAAATAAATAAAAATATCCCATGAAGAAAAAAAAAAATCAATATTTAATAACACAAAAGCTTACAATACACATATATCATTTATTAATATTTTGTAGCATAACCATTTTTGCTAATTACAGCATGTAGGCATTTAGAGTAGTCCCCTACAAATTTCTTGGCTGATATTTTTCCATTCTTCATGACAAAATTCCTTTAGTTCATGCAGGTTTTGCATGTTCCTTCTTTGAATTCTCAGTTTCAACTCTCACCAAAAATTTTCAGTCAGATTGAGATCTGGAGATTGACTTGGCCATTTTAGAACATCTATTCTATTTGAACTTAACCATGATTTTCTAAGCTTTGCAGTATGTTTACAATCGTTGCCTTGTTGAAACACCCAACCTGGTTTCAAGCTCAGCAAATGTACACTCTGACATAAATTTCTCTCCAAAATATCCATATAACATGCTCCATTCATCCTCCCTTCTATTATTTCAATGTTCCCTACACCTTGGGAACTAAAGCAACCCCAGATCATGACTGATTCACATCCAAATTTTACTATTGGGATAGTACCATTCTTTCTCCAGACCTTTGCCACAACATTTCTACCAAAAAGTTCAATTTTCATTTTGTCTGACCAAAGTAAATTTTCTCCAAATACTGCAGGTTTGATGTAATGCTTATTTGCAAAATTCAGTCTAGCAAGAACATGTTTTCGCTTAAGAAGAGTTTTTTTTCTTCAGGTCCTCAAAAAGATATCATATCAATGAAGTGAATGACTAATTATATCCATACTCACTCTTACTCCACTTACTTCTAGTCTTCCCTGACATTCTTTAAGCATAACTCTGGGTTCGTTACCAACATTTCTCACCAATAATATTGCCGTATGTTCTGTTACCTTTCTTGGACAACCAGAGGTTCTTTTTTGGATGAATGAAATGACATGTCTTCCAGTGATCAACTACTGTACCAAATGAATTCAATGTGACCAAGGGTTTGAGCATATTGACCTTGTTCAGATTGTTGATCATGCTAAATAATACACTCTCTTAGAAACTGTAACTAAGGTCTGCTCAGCATAGTTGCAGCATAAACCACAGGTGGGTTCTGTGGGTATTGAACAAACACAAATGCACCTGAGCAAGGGTCTGCAACAGGGATTAGCTAGCCACCCTAGTAGATGAGTATCCTTGAATATGAGTGAACAACTATTATTATTATTATTATTGCATATAAAAATACTGATATGCTAGTATTATGGATAGAAGATTATCAAAGACTCAAGCATTACCATAGTTTTTATCCTCGATTTTCTAAATTTTTTATACTTCTACAGGTTACTTGTTTCTTGGAATTGATGACGATATAGAATTCTAATATTTCATTTTATTTTAAATGAGGAATTACCATTATTGTGTGTTATTTGAACTAAAAATATTAGGTAACTGAATGACAAGATAGAAAAATTCTATGTAACATGTTTTGTTCTCTCTGTAATTCTGAAGACGCATGGGCCTGGCTAAGAACCTACTGGGTTCATTAACCCAGTCACCTTTAACCCTCAATATTTGGGCATACAGCCACATATTTAAACAACAGTTCTTGTACGATCATTAAAGTTAAGTAACATTAGCCTTTGTCAGTACCTAGATGGGTGACCACTTGGGAATACCAGGTGCTGTAAACTTAGATATGCAGGTGGTGCAATGGATAAGATGTCAGAATTGTTAATCAAAGAGCCGAGTTCCAATTCCAGTTGGGTTTGTTATATTCATTTATGTGCAAATATCTATAGAAAAGGTATTAATCCATGTCTTTTCTCCCCAGCTATAGGTTAATTAGTAAGATTTATATCATTAAATCCTTATCACAAAAAAAAAAAAAAATTCTTACAACCTAAATATATTTTTTGGCTTTGAATAACCTGCAAAGGGTTGATAGACCATAAAAACCACAAATCAATCAACCAATAATCTAAGAAAGTATTTGTATGCAGTTGACAGTTTAGATTTTTCTAAATACGTTGGCATCATGCATGACATCCTTATGTTTTTATTTCAGACTGATATGACTGTTTAAGAGCATGACTAAAGTTTTACATTTGATCCAAGGTGGAAATTAGTCAGCGTAAAGAAATAAATTAGACACTGGTTTAAAGAAATGACCCAAAGATTTATTTTCATTTACAAGATATGAAAATGTCTCTGGTAAGTTGTATAGTGTATTTTACAGTGTACAAGGTGTGAAAAAGGAGTATGCTTAACCCATCTGACTGCTTGTTGGCTATCGATGTGGGCTTGTTACATTGATAGTGAAGTCCGTTCTCTTTCTGTATCCACAGCCTAATGGTTGGACAGGCAGTCAGTTGTGCTCTCAGGTAGCGTGTGTGTGTGTGTGTGTGTGTGTGTGAAGTCTCTCTCTTTCTCTCTGCTCTCTCCGGCTTCTTGTATAGCCTATATAAGGGAAATGCATGGACATAGTTGTAAACATCTGTGGCAAATGAGAGTTGCATTGATAATGGCCAGCATTCTGGTATATTTGTATTTGTTTTAAAATTACCTTAGCACAGCCTATTTTATGTTCAATTTCCTTCTCTTTGATAAAAAATACAGAAGTAGGAATGAACTTTCTTGGACCTCAAAGGAAGAATTATTTTCAGTTTTCATGAAATTTAAAGAAGACAAACTTCTGAATTAGTTTTACACACATTTGTTCAGTTGCCTTTGAGCTTCACATATATGAGCCATGACAATTGGTTTTTGGCAAAAACCTTACCTGAACATTGTTATTCAATTCCCCCTTTTATTCAGATGAAACACTGTCCTAGAATGCTTGTAGCCAAAATTTAAGGAGTGGTATGATGTTTTCTGAATGCTTAATAAAAGGGATGGTTGGAATTATGTCCTCGGTGCAATTTTCTTAAAAAATAAAAAAAGAATTATCATCTGAACCTGTCCATTTAAAACTCAAAGGAGCTTTAAATTACAACACTATTTGTTAGATTGAATTTTTGAGACCACAGAATATCTCAGGTTATTTATATTCAGGTAAATTTACTAAGAACGTTTGACACAGAATAGTAATAGTCAAATGTAATAAATAAAATAGCTAGTGTGTAAAAATTTCTTAATACCTAAAAAAAGACACAAGAGCCACTCAAGGTAGAGGGTTACTATTATCGTTGTTATAGTGAATGAGGTGTGTTATAGGAAGTGAAGATGGGGAATAGATAACAATTGACTTATCAACTGATGAGGTCAAGATTGTATAGTGTACAGGTAAGCATCCATAAGTGTAGGGGGTCTGTTCTACAAAGTAGAATTTTTGTAAAAGCTCTCTGAGTAGAATGTTCTTCTTACAATTGGAATATGGAAGAAATGTGGATGATTCAACTCTGTGATTGCAGCATAAGGTTCTAACTTTAAAGGTTTGAACTAATGGAACTAAAGAATGGCACTCATCTGAATATTTCTTAAAAATCACGAAAGTCATTATCTTATCCTTTTTTCTTTTCTTTGAGTTCACGCCAAGCAAGGCAGTAAAACCACTAGGATTGACAGTGCATTTAAATTTTTGAAGATCAAATTTAACTGGGAAGCATGGAGCTGAAAGAGAGTTCCAAAAGTTATAAGCAGGAGAAAATAAAATGTTAGCATAGAATTTACAGTCACATCTAGTCAATTCAACTGTAAAATGATGAGACATTGTTGTAAATCTTGTACTGTGCTTAAATTCATAAAGTCTAGGTACCATAGTAAAGAGCTCATTCAAACAATTACCATGAAAGTATTTATAGAAAAGGCAGAGGGAAGCAACTTTACAGCAGTGGGAAAGTGACTGAAGATGTAAAACAACTAATTCAGGCTTGGCAGAGCATGTGCATAAAGAAAATCCAACACTCTCTGCTTCTTCTGATGTTAAAATAATAGATAATAGAATATTGGTAAAAAAAAAAAAAACGTTTGTAAAATGAAAGAATTTTCATATGTGAAGATGAGACAGGATGATTATTCTTTTTTGGCAGAAAACTCCACCCAGAACATCCTTATTCCAACCACACCTTTTATTAAATATTGAAATGAAATACTTTTTCTTACAAGAATTGGGTAGGATTTCTTAAACAAATAATAATTTAATAAAAAGGGAACTTAGAATAAATATGTTCTGGGTGAAACAGAAAAGAATAATTCTCATGGACCATCTGTTTGAAATTCAAAAGGTAGAAAAGGGAGATGAAGATTTTGGAAAATTATTTCAGAGCAGGTGACAGTGAAAAACGTTACAAGAATTTTCAGATTGATGTCTATTTCCTTTTGTAAATATTGCTGCTGAAAAGAAATTTTATTGGAACAAAATGAACTGAATCACCGATAATTGAGTATGGTAAAGAAAGTTGAAGGTTAAATATTATTGTTTTTTCTTTTGAAGACATATTTGATTTAGTTTGTTCTTTGAGAAAAAAAAAAAATGAAAGAAAAAAAGAAAGAAAGAAAAAATGAAAGAATGAAGAAAAAGAAATGAATACAAAAAGAAAATATGAAAAAGAAAAAAGAAAAAGGAAAATAAAATAAAAAAATGTTAACCAAAATGAAGAATGAAAGAAAAAGAAATGAATACAAAAAGGAAAATATGAAAAAGAAAAAAGAAAAATAAAAGAAAAAAAATGGTAACCAAAATGAAGAATGAAGGAAAATGAAATGAATACAAAAAGGAAAATATGAAAAAGAAGAGAAAAATAAAAGGATGAAAAAGGAAGAAAAAGAAAAGAAGAAAGAAGGAAAGAAAAAGGAAAAAGAAAAGAAAAAAAATCAATGCTAAAAATCAAGCAAATTCTTTTGACGTATAATTTGATTTAATGCTTTTTATATAGAAATAAGATACTTTCTCTCAGATATTCCTTTTAACATTGACTTCATGTAAGCATCAAATCAAATATTGCATTAAAAATGTTGCCCAACCTTCTTCAATGAAAATTTTATTAAGGAAATAACTCAAAAAGTTAACATAGTAAATTTTTATAGAAATCTGAATAGTGTCAGCATAAATACATATGTATGCTTCATATGTATATATGTGTATACACATATAAAAATATATATTGGGTTGGTGCATAATTATCAGGCGTTTTTAAACAATTTTTATTATGAAAAAAGAAACAATAATTCAACAATAACATTTTTAAATGATTATTCTGGAGTGTATATGATTATTTTCATGCAATTTTATAATTTGAATATTAAATATTTTTATTTAAAAATGTAAACAAAACAGCAATTTTTATTAACAAATAACTCACGTGCAAAACCACCTGATAATTATGCACCAACATATATTTCATAGCTTTGTCTTGCAAATGAAGATACTTTTGGGGATTTCACATTTATTGAAAGATTGGTGAAGTTTTTTCTACAACAGGTACAACCTGCAAAACTTGGAATTTGAGAAAATACCAAACTTATAGTGATACCTCCTCTTCTCTGCTCTGAGGCTATGGCTGGAGTCAGTCACCTTGAAAATCATGTGTCACAAAGAAAACTTCTCTTCACCCTCTTGTCCTGGGTATGACAATAAACTTCATCTGGTAGCAAGGCCTCTACTCAGGAGATTGGCAGTTTTGAGGAGTGTGTGACAAACCTATTAGCCGTCTGCCCTGGGATACCATGAAAACACAACATACTAATAATTTATGGGAGAGAGAGAGAGAAAGGTAGAAAGTTACATAAGAATTAAGACAAAATAAAATATTAAAAATTGTAATTTTAGCTATTTTTTTTTGTAGAGAAAAGTTTGGAATTTTTCAGACAAAAAATATTCATGAAACTTGGGTGGTATGCTGGAGTGTGAACAAGAGAATTATGGGTAGCAGTTTGTGACTATAAAAAGGGAGAAGAAAGCACGATCGGTGTTCATTATTCAGAGTCGGTGTGCAATTGAGACGAAGTAAGGAAAGATAAGAAAAAAAAAAGAAACTATGTCTGAGTAGAAGGAGGAAACAGTGTCACAAAAATCAGTTTTTAACTATACATGGAAATGCCCAAGAGTCATACCAATAATCAAACAAAGAGATGCACCTGCATCCCTCCATATTGTGTTGAAAGAGAATTCACCAGACACCCATTGCATGACACAGTGGTGAAAGAGAGTGATAACCTGGATGCAGTCATCGAATAATAAATGCTAAATACATTTTAAATTTGAAACAAGCAGCGAACTCGTCAAGCAACTGGAAAATAGGAATCAAGGGCAAGACAGCACGAAAAAAAACAAAGTTTGACAAACTTAAAAGGAGTTTTTGATATAACCAGTCATTCCATTTCAGTGGCAGGAGTAAAGACAGGAAGAAAACGTATTAATACTGATGGTTCGTAGAATAAAACAGAAGAGTCTGAAACAGCTGCATGTCAAAGTCCATTTGTTAGCAAAGAAAACCCAACAAAATGAAAGGAGTAAATGAGAAAATTTAGCACGTAGCGTTTCAAATGTATGAAACACTGCATGCGCAGGAACTTGTAAAGAAGGACAAATACCTAAACTGATTTGTTTTGGATGTAGTGATTCTGAGCATATGTATTTCCACAGGGAAACTAACTTAATTACATGTTGTTCCAAGGTACACCCTGACCCGGAGTAGTAGCACCTGTTAGGGCCCCAGCTATGGGCAAAGTGTGAACCCCAAAATAAAAATCAACAGTACATTTTTATATTTTTTAGTGTTGTCATTTTGCTATAAAAATGACTACACTAAAAAATATAAAAATACTTTTTTATAGTAAAATTATTAACAATACATTTTATGATCTACAAAATATATATCTAAACATACTTTTACTGAGAGTATAAAATTTTGTACAAAATATCTGTAAAGCATAAAATTATATTCAAAAAGATTTTGGCATTAAAAAAACCATACAGGTTAATATATGATAAACAAAACCAATCACTCAGACAACCAACATGAAAGAAGACTTTACTGACATTAATCCATATAATATCCTACAATATCTTCAACCACTATTTACTGTTTCCCTGAGAGCTATAATCTCCAACTATTCAAATGTAATGTCAATCGACATCTCCAGTTACCTTGATCTATCCACTATCCCTCTCCTCATCCTTTCTTCTATCACTCCTATCTGCTCTTGCTCCAAATCTCCTGCAAACCCCTGCATCCTAGTGGCTTCAAAAACAAAAAAAAAAAAAAACTGTATTCCAAAATATAACTGCAACAAAACTACTACATAGACACATATATCACTGCCTCTAGTAATTATATTGACACAAAAATGTATATGAACAAAAGCTGAGTATTATCTGCCATGTATTCAATTGTGAATGCAGAATAAATAATGTATATTGTATTTTTATTACTTCCAAGAAAATTAAATTTTGACATTAAGTGACCCATAAGGAGTTGATGTGCCATTAAACAAACAAAATCAATCTTCACTCCTCAACCCACATTTTCCCTATTTGATATCAAAGGAGGCAAGAGTTCTTGTATCTCTTTCATGACACCTCACTTACGTGCCACAATTTCTATATAATCTCAGAAATAAATATAGTATTTCATGACAATTCTTCATTGCATTGACCGATGATGAGTTCACTTTTTTAACAGCCAATTATTTTCCACACTCTACCTGCTTAGTTAAGATATTTTTTCACAATTGCTTTGATGCCAAAAGCAGTGCCTCTTGAGAACTTCCATGTTTGTGATGTAGGTCCTGCAGTACACTTTAACAATGATATAAAAGCAACTTTGGTGGAAGTATTCAAGAATGTGCTGTAGATGATCTGAGATTTGGTATCATAAAATTGAGTGGGCAGCACGATGGCTTTTAAGGACTTTATTTTAATTTATTTCTCACATATCTGTGCTGCCTTTATTTTTGTCAGTCAATTATCAGCTTCTTTGTCTTACTTAGCATCTGTTTATAGTCAAATCACACTGAAAACAGCAGTTCTTGTTTGATCACTATAGTTAAGCAATGTCAAGCCTAGTCAATACTTAGATAGGGGACAGCTTGAGAATATTTGGTACTATTTATGTATGGTGTTTGTCTGCATGCTGATTTGGGAATGTTTTTATATCAACCCCATCCTCCTTAAACGTCCAAATCTTTTGACTGAACCAGTCTTAATGTATGGATTAGAAACTTGAACATTATTTGCTCATCTTGAAAGATGACTGGATGGAACATATACAAATTTACTAAGAAAAATCCAGAACATCAGTTGGAGATCCCATGCAACACTTAACACAATTTACAGAGAACCGAGACCAATCTCTCTTAAACCCAAACAAAAACGATTACATTTTGCTGGCCACTGCTACTGAGGAGACGGGAGAATTGTCTCATCCTTACTTCTATGGCATTCTTCTGGAAGTCTCTTTTCACAAAAATTGACTTTCCCATAGCTCAGGACTCAGGGGATAGCAATGCACGACCAAGCAGTGTGGAAAGGGATTGTCAATGGAGTTCTGACTATAGGGAGGTTGAAAGATGATGATGATGATGATGATGATGATATCAACCCTGGTTGTGGTAGATAAACATACATTAGATTCTTTAAGAATGGATTTAATAAAGGTTGGTGATGTAATCTAATGTTTTTTTTTAATGTTTTTATAGTTGGCAAAATATTTATCAGGATTCCTTTGAAGTATTTTCGACATAAAAAATTATGTTTTTTAATTAGGGTTGCATTTGTAAAGTCAAAGTTATAACCAGTTTTGTTCCTGTGTATTATGAGCGAGTTTAAAGGGTTGTCCCAATGTATATATATATAATTAATATGAGTAAAAGGTCGTCACTTCATTAATTGATGTTACCTTCAGCATTCCAACTCCACAGTTTCATAGGTGAACCTGCCCATCCACTCTTCAGGGGATATCAATTTACACTATTTACATTGTTCAGACGGTTGTCCTCATCTTTATTGACATATTCATGATGTTTTGGGTGTTGTACATTCTGGCCTTCTTCAGGTGATAAGTTTTAGAATTTCAAACCAAACTCTTTATTTTGCACACTGGGGTAGATTGTTCTAATTTCAGTGTATATCACCTGAAGAAGGCTGGAGCATACAACAGCCGAAACATTGTGAATATGACAATAAAATGAGGACAACAGCCCAAACAATGTAAACAGTTACAATACCTCATCACAGAAATATATATATATATATATATATATATATATATATATATATATATATATGTGTGTGTGTGTGTACACACAGAATGTGCGATGGATAAATTGTCGGCTAAATTATGCAAAAATGAAAATGACACTAACATCTCATTTTAACAGCTATATTTACCAAAAGTTACATAAAAATATCTTCAAATACTAAAGGGTTTATTTATTCAATACAATCGCTATTTGATTCAACTACAGACGACTCCAGAATCTCCTGCAACTCTTCTGGACAGTCTCTTTGTTTAAGTTGGTGTATACTACCATAATCCTTGCCTTCAGTTCATCTTTGGTATTATGAAGACATTTGTTTATTGCTCACTCAACTGTGCCCCACACATAATAATCAAGAGGGTTGCAGTCTGGAGAGTTAGGTGGTCAGAAGTAAGAGGTGATGTGGTTGCAGAAATGTCTGACAGCCATGACTAAGATCTCCTGCTTGTGTAGCATGGTGCAGAGTCCTGTTGCCAGACATAGGGTCTTCCATCAGCCACCCTCATGATCTAGGGCAGCACGAGCTGCTCAAGGCACTTTCTGTAGGCCTCCTTGTTGAGCCTGAGGCCTTTGGGAAGATGAATGGAGGCATAATGTTGCCATCATTAGTGATATTGACT